GCATCATACCCCACGCGCCAATTTCTGGACATTACTTGATTGTTATCAAAGTATGTAATCAAGTCAGATTGCTGAGGTAAACATATTTGTGACAAACTCTGGCTATTGGTCCAAGTCAAAAGTGAAGTGTAGCTTCCAGCAGGTGACATAGAACAGTTTATTTCACAAACAGACTTGCTTCTGGTGATAAAATGACATAATAAATTTGACGAAGATGACAACGGCATAATAACATTTAAATTTCGGCAGAGATAGATATTTTCAATAGCCTTAGCAAGTGACAAGGTTTTCGCCGGTTATCGGTCAGGTTAGAAATACCACAACTCCTTCAGAAATGCTGTTAAAACTACATTTGATTCCTCTATCCACTGGCCAGCATAAAAGGATTTTGAATATGTCATCTTTGTAATCATTTTGTCGTTCAACACATTCATCATTTAATAATTTTTTCTGTGATTTTCCAAGAGCAGCTGCAATTCTGCAAATGTCGTCACAGCTTAAACCGTTGTCCTCTATCAATTCCACAACTATCTATATATTGTTTATTGTAAAGTTTTCGTTTCGGAAGAGATTCACCATCACAAAAGAGTGTTTTCGATGATTGTGGACATGCTGTACACAGATGTGTTGCACGGGAAGAAAGTAATTCCCTGTCCACCAAAGCAGTTACAGCTCTGGTATGAATTTTTTTAGAGGAAATTCTATAAATGTTCAATGGTTTCCCTGCAGAAAACTCTTCATGACGTTTGCATCCACAAACAGGAGCCATGTTTCCAATCTGCGAGTGGAAATATGACAATAATTATATTTACCTGCAGGTGGAGGATTGGGAAATGAATATATCCGTTTGTATCGTAGGAGGCGACTTATGTTTGAACCTTCTGCAGAATTGGGGATTTACTTTGGTGTTCTCTATTTGGGGATACAAAAGCGACCAAAATAAATCTGCTGCGCCCATTGCAATTTTGGTATCTTTATCTTTCTTTTTACTTCTAACGTCCTTATATTTCCTAGCGCCTTGCTTGGCAACACCACACTTTTGGCTTCAAAGTTGAGCGTTCGCCTAGGTGAGGAAGGCAATGGGTTCTGTCCCAAGGCCGGGAGTCTTTTAAAATGGTAGTTGTTATTCTCTGCTTAACGTTCAGCATTAGGGGGAATGCTGTACTGTGTACCTTCGGCATGACATTTCAGTGCGATAGCACTATAAAGTCGGCTTCAGATCCGCCCTATCACAAACAGGTAAGCACACCAACATTAAGGACGTTAAACAAAATTAAACGGGCGCCATCCGTGCATGTTGGGGACCGAGAAAACGACACGCTGTCATCGGCCGAGATGCACTGTTCTTGTGTTGCCGGGTATGTACGTCTATAAATTTAAGAAAATTGGTGTCACTTGTCATAAATTTATTTAATATCTTTCATTTAATGAAATCGCTAGCACCATGCAAGCAAAATATTCGGCATCTATACTCTGTACACAATACCGATGTGGGCGTTTCGTTATCAAATCAAACGTCACTCGATGACGTTTTCTTGTCAAGTTGACTGTATTTTGGTGAATCCGTTTTTGTCAAAATGTTTGTAAAATTTGATATACTCCTAACATCTCTGTTCACCTTTCGCTTACGATTCTCTTGTGTTGTATTTGAGGATGTCGGGTATGTGTTCTCATGTCGTGGGGTTATTGTTTGCACTGATACACTACCAGCAGCTAGGTTTGGAAAAGGTCCCATGTGAACTTTCTCGTACAAGTTTACCCAAACAATAGCATTAAACCGAGAGCTGCCAATATTTCCAAAAGAGACATTGACCTCCATTACATTTGCAAAGCCAAATGCGTTTAGTGTAGGCGTGTGTGTTTTTGGAGGCTGCGATATGTTCGTGTTTGTAACCTTGTGATAGCGCGGAACTGAAGCCCACTTTATAGTGCTACCTCACTGAAACATACTGCTGAAGACACCCAGCAGGACACCCGAACCGGTCACATTTTGCTGAAAACTAGCGAACTAGTCGTCCCATCCCTTAATTGCTGAGCGTTAAGCAGGAGTAGAAACTACCATTTTTACAGACTCTGGTATGTCTCGGACAGGGGACAGAACCCAAAACCTTCCTCATCGGGGCGTTTGATACTTTCATACGTGTACATATATATTGCTTCGTGTTGTTTTATTTATAGCCGATTATACTAGTCTTCGTGTTTTGTTTTATTTATATATATTGCTATATATACACACATTATGAAATACATGCAACGTAACGTTCACGAGCACGCCTTAGGCGGGTCGACCGTCTCAGATGTGGTGTTTCTTGTCCTGGGGGTGCATAGTCCTGCTGGGTGCCATTGATTGAAAGGAGGATAGACTTGGTGATGATCATCAGAACTGTAATTACACAGTATGCCTTCATTTGAAACCCAGTTAAAGATTCCAAATCTTCGATATGATAGTTCGGTGTACGTTCCTCCTTGGGTTTATTACGTTTCATAAGCATCCGTATACAACACATAGAGCACATCCCTACGACAACTGCTATTAATGCGATCGACACGTATAGCCAAGTTTTATCTGGAATAATGATAAATATAGATATATTAGTCACTGAAAAGTTTACATGTTACGTTTTATCGTAAAGTATTCTTCAAAAGGAATGGTTTGTTTCATGATGTATTGTTTGATTTATGAAAACTTTAATAATATAAAACAATTCAATAGATATGGATATAAAAAATGTTACTGATTGAAATTATGACCGTTTCTAACATGGTGATGGACGTAGTCGTTGTTCTGGTTGTAGTCGTACTGGGTTCAGTCATTGGTCCGTTCGTTCTCGTCTCCTCTGTAGTTTTCTATAATGGAATTTTTATCATGGATTTTTTATCATTTACTTCAACATATATTTTTATATCATGTACATGTTTGACGTTCTTATATTTTCACGTTAAAGAATTATTTGAGTTGGTAAAAATTGGTACTCAACTCGCATATCTTCCCGCTCAAAATGATGACAATTTGAGGTCGGAATTGAATATCCCCACATGTCATTTCTGTTTTGTCGGTAGACAGCCTTTTTCATTGTTTCAAGTTCTATAAATGTATTTATCTATAAAGGGAGCATAGAGAATATGAATAAATTCTGCATTGGTCAGATTCAAACTTGATTTATCATACCGTTCACACGTCAATTTCTGCCCAATCCTTTGACAATTGTCTTTTCCATTTACCACGAACAAGAAGCACATCATCATTATCATCATCATCTTCAACATCTTCGTCGTCATCATTTTAATCCGAAGTGTAAATAACCTTTTATGTTATTAGCCTTATCAAGGTACCATAGGGTTGACTTTAAAGGTGTGTATTTAATTAAATTGTACCATCTCTTTAAGGTTGAAATGTTATAAATACTTTCTGTGCTTTATCTTCAATGGTTTTATTTTAATTTTAACTAAATTTGAATATAAAAATATTGTGTTTTTAATTAACCTTTAGGCTGCCAATTTCGTGTGGTCAGCGTGACCGTCGAAATATTTTGGGGGGTCATTGGACGATATAAATGCTGTATCAATGTTTCGCGAATCAACACAACATTTTTGAACTGCAGAATCGAAAACATATTGAGTTCATATTTCTCAATAACAAATTAAAGACAATCATTGTGTTTGAATTATTTCTCTAACTGGCAAGTCATTTTCTTTCAATGAAATGTAACCCTTAATTTAAAAAAAATGGTGCCATGAATATAGTGCATATAGCGTCAAAGGTCAAGGCAAAAATTATCCTTTCTTTATATTTCTGTATTGTATTCACATAGGAACTTTATATTAATACTATAGGAAGACAGTGGGATGACCTTTCATTGACCTTGAAAATGAGGTCAAAGACCACGGTCAAGGAGGTCAAAACACATTTTTACATATAACTTCTTACTGGATTAGTTGGTCAGTTGGTTAACGTTTTTTTAGCCTATATGATTCCACCCATGCGGGTTACTTTAACTGACGGAAGTGGGTGTTCTGTCGGCGTGAGGGAGTTGCCTTCCCTCAGGGGGTAGAGATGAGTCCCCTACACTATAACCTATCCTTATATTATGATGAAATTTGTGAGGCGACAACTGTTCCGAAATGGTTGGTAGGTGCGTCGCTGCAACTTTGACTGTTGTTCCTTACTAGTGTTTTTGTATCGTTTGGGGGAGGTCAAAAACGGCCAAGAGGGCTTATGATATTGTATATAAAAAATAAAGAATTATTTGTATATTTATATTCATGTTCTTATAGGGAAGTATATATGTTATGTTTGTTATGTACCCCGGGTCTCAAACTACCGGTTATGCCCGACAGTAGAGAAACGTCTCTGCTACCGTCAGGTACAGTACTTTGTTTCTTTGTCAGATATGGCCGGAGTCTGAGATTATCCGGGGGGACCCTATGGTGTACGCGGATTTTTACTTTTAATTCTATGGTGTATGTTTATATATATATAGAAAGGAAAAAAATAGATAAATACTTGAGTAATCAAAAAGTAAAAATTGGCAGATAGGAAGTTGGTAGCGAAGAGGGCCTTAAGGGAGGGATGCATAGTTCCGAGTTAATAATATATATATATATCACAAATTCTATTATATTAAAGAAGGGGGAGATCGCTGGTCGTATCGTATCAGGATGTCTTATATGGCGTGGGTGTTGGAGGATGGCGTGTCTACCATATCCAGGCTTTCCTATAACCCTAGTCTACTCTATTTGTGTTTTGTTTTGGTTCTATATTTTGGAAGTCCGTCGAATCGTCTTACATAATTGATATCTAACCTAGCCCTATCCTCTGTGTCGGCGTTAACGCGCCTACTCTTTCGACAATACACAGAGATATCTTTTACGTGCAGGTTGGACCCTCCCACACGGGACACCGTTTCTAGTCCCCTCCGCCGGACTGGATGTTATCGATTAGTGGTTAGTAACATGCAAGTTTTAATTAACCTTGATTTTTGATGTCCGTTTTTAAACCGAATCCAGTTCTTGCACACTATGGAAAACTTTCCTTCGATACAAATGTTCTCGTTCTTATAAAACGTTTCCTTGGCATGACATTTTATAATTATGTTTGTGAGTATTAGTATAAGTTATCAGAGCATTTATTTTGAAATCATTAACAAGGAACACATAGTGGTTGTTGCTCCTATGACAAATTCAATTCAGGCTAAAATATTGTTGTTAGGACTATGGTTAGAATAAGAATTTAAGAACTTTCTCTATTATTATTTGCAGTGATTTAATAAGAGCACTGAGTGTTTTTCTTGAAGGTAAAAAAATTGTTGTTGAAGGTATGTAATTAATATAAAACGGTATAGAAATATTTCTGTACCAACTACTTGTGTAATGTACCCATTGTTTCCTACTTCTATGTTTGTTACAGATGCTGGCGAAGCTTGTGTGTGGTTTCCACAAACCAAACAAACAGACAATCATCCCTCAGGACTCTGTGATTAACCTGTTCAGTACTCTCCCTCTAACAAAAATGTCAGTTTGTATATAAATTCAAACATACAGTTTCAGAAACAATTTTGGGAAGAGTTATGATTTAATAAAAAATTGTTGAAACCTGGATTTTGTTTTGATCTCAAAATAAAGGTTTTCCCTTTATGTGAAATTTCTAAGTTATGAATTGAACTTTAGAAATTTCCTAGTAATAATTTGCATTGTAGTATCATACAGTATTGATGTACTTATATACATTTAAAAACAAAATGGGAAAATATGATTTTTACTGGAACAAATAATCTGAAATGGCAGAGTGATTTTATTTTTCTCTTACATGACAGACGCCATCTTGGAGGGAAGCTTGGCCAATCTGTGATGGAACAACTTCAGGTGGAGAATGTTGGTGATCTGTGTCGTTTTACCGACAGAGAACTCCAGCAGTATTATGGCGACAAAACAGGGTACAGTAATTATTGAGTTAAATGTAGTTAAATTGTTAACAGTGTTACCAGAAACTAGATCAAATGTCTGGGTACGCCTGTTTTAATTAATGTGAAAATAAGAAAAATTCTAGTTTTTGAAAAATGTTGCTTAAACTGAAGTATCTATTTACAGATACATACCGGTACTTTGTACTTTGGTAATAGACAAAAAAAGATGTTAACCAAGGCTTTAACATTTACAGAAGGACCTAATGATAAATATATTGATTGTTCGCCTAATTCTGACCGATTCAGGGAAAAAACCATGTGAACTATTTTTTGATATTTTGAATTATATATATATTTTTTTAATTTTTACTTGACCTGCCTCTCTGGCCTACCAGATAAGTGTCAGAGCTTATATTGGGCATAAGCTATCTGGTCTACCATACAAGTGTCGGAGCTTATATTGGGCATAAGCTATCTGGTCTACCAAACATTTGACAGAGCTTATATTTGGCCTAAGCTATCTGGTCTAACAAACATGTGTCAGAGCTTATATTGGGCATAAGCTATCTGGTCTACCAGACAAGTGTCGTAGCTTATATTGGGCATAAGCTATCTGGTCTACCAAACATGTGTCAGATCTTATATTGAGCCTAAGCTATCTAGTCTAACAAACATGTGTCAGGGCTTATATTGGGCCTAAGCTCTCTGGTCTACCAAACATGTGTCAGAGCTTATATTGAGCCTAAGCTATCTGGTCTAACAAACATGTGTCAGAGCTTATATTGGGCCTAAGCTATCTGGTCTACCAAACATGTGTCAGAGCTTATATTGGGCCTAAGCTATCTGCTCCACCAAACATGTGTCAGAGCTGATATTGGGCCTAAGATATCTAGCCTACAAAACAAGTGACAGAGATTATATTGAGCATAAGCTTTCTGGCCTGCCAGACAAGTGTCAGAGCTTATATTTGGCCTAAGCTATCTGGTCTACCAGACAAGTGTCGGAGCTTATATTGGGCATAAGCTCTCTGATCTATCAAACATGTGTCAGAGCTTATATTTGGCCTAAGCTATCTAGCCTACCAAACAAGTGTCACAGCTTATATTGGGCTTAAGCTATCTAGTCTACCAGACAAGTGTCAGAGCTTATATTGGACATAAGCTCTCTGGTCTACCAAACATGTGTCAGAGTTATATTGGACATAAGCTCTCTGGCCTACCAGACAAGTGTCAGAGCTTATATTGTGCCTAAGCTATCTGGCCTACAAAACAAGTGTCAGAGCTTACATTGGGTCTAAGCTATCTGGTCTACCAAACATTTGACAGAGCTTATATTAGGCCTAATCTATCTAGCCTACCAAACATTTGACAGAGCTTATATTTGGCCTAAGCTATCTAGCCTACCGAACAAGTGTCAGAGCTTATATTGGGCATAAGCTCTCTGGTCTATCAAACATGTGTCAGAGCTTATATTGGGCCTAAGCTATCTAGCCTACCAAACATTTGACAGAACTTATATTGGGCCTAAGCTATCTAGCCTACCAAACAAGTGTCAGAGCTTATATTGGGCATAAGCTCTCTGGCCTGCAAGACAAGTGTCAGAGCTTATATTGGGCCTAAGCTTTCTGGCCTGCCAGACAAGTGTCAGAGCTTATATTTGGCCTAAGCTATCTGGTCTACCAGACAAGTGTCGGAGCTTATATTGGGCATAAGCTCTCTGGTCTATCAAACATGTGTCAGAGCTTATATTTGGCCTAAGCTATCTAGCCTACCAAACAAGTGTCACAGCTTATATTGGGCTTAAGCTATCTAGTCTACCAGACAAGTGTCAGAGCTTATATTGGACATAAGCTCTCTGGTCTACCAAACATGTGTCAGAGTTATATTGGACATAAGCTCTCTGGCCTACAAGACAAGTGTCAGAGCTTATATTGTGCCTAAGCTATCTGGCCTACAAAACAAGTGTCAGAGCTTACATTGGGTCTAAGCTATCTGGTCTACCAGACAAGTGTTAGAGCTTATATTGGGCATAAGCTCTCTGGTCTACCAAACATTTGACAGAGCTTATATTAGGCCTAATCTATCTAGCCTACCAAACATTTGACAGAGCTTATATTTGGCCTAAGCTATCTAGCCTACCGAACAAGTGTCAGAGCTTATATTGGGCATAAGCTCTCTGGTCTATCAAACATGTGTCAGAGCTTATATTGGGCCTAAGCTATCTAGCCTACCAAACATTTGACAGAGCTTATATTTGGCCTAAGCTATCTAGCCTACCAAACAAGTGTCAGAGCTTATATTGGGCATAAGCTCTCTGGTCTATCAAACATGTGTCAGAGCTTATATTGGGCCTAAGCTATCTAGCCTACCAAACATTTGACAGAACTTATATTGGGCCTAAGCTATCTAGCCTACCAAACAAGTGTCAGAGCTTATATTGGGCATAAGCTCTCTGGCCTGCAAGACAAGTGTCAGAGCTTATATTGGGCCTAAGCTATCTGGTCTACCAAACATGTGCCAGAGCTTATATTGGGCCTAAGCTATCTAGCCTACCAGACAAAGGTCAGAGCTTAAATTGGGCATAAACTCTCTGGCCTACCAAACAAGTGTCAAAGCTTATATTGAGCATAAGCTGTCTGGCCTACCAGATAAGTGTCAGAGCTTATATTGGGCCTAAGCTTTGGCCTACCAAACAAGTGTCAGAGCTTATATTGGGCATAAGCTATCTGGTCTACCAAACATGTGTCAGAGCTTATATTGGGCCTAAGCTATCTGCTCCACCAAACATGTGTCAGAGCTGATATTGGGCCTAAGATATCTAGCCTACAAAACAAGTGACAGAGATTATATTTAGCATAAGCTTTCTGGCCTGCCAGACAAGTGTCAGAGCTTATATTTGGCCTAAGCTATCTGGTCTACCAGACAAGTGTCGGAGCTTATATTGGGCATAAGCTCTCTGATCTATCAAACATGTGTCAGAGCTTATATTTGGCCTAAGCTATCTAGCCTACCAAACAAGTGTCAGAGCTTATATTGGGCTTAAGCTATCTAGCCTACCAGACAAGTGTCAGAGCTTATATTGGACATAAGCTCTCTGGTCTACCAAACATGTGTCAGAGTTATATTGGACATAAGCTCTCTGGCCTACGAGACAAGTGTCAGAGCTTATATTGTGCCTAAGCTATCTGGCCTACCAAACAAGTGTCAGAGCTTACATTGGGTCTAAGCTATCTGGTCTACCAGACAAGTGTTAGAGCTTATATTGGGCATAAGCTCTCTGGTCTACCAAACATTTGACAGAGCTTATATTAGGCCTAATCTATCTAGCCTACCAAACATTTGACAGAGCTTATATTTGGCCTAAGCTATCTAGCCTACCAAACAAGTGTCAGAGCTTATATTGGGCATAAGCTCTCTGGTCTATCAAACATGTGTCAGAGCTTATATTGGGCCTAAGCTATCTAGCCTACCAAACATTTGACAGAACTTATATTGGGCCTAAGCTATCTAGCCTACCAAACAAGTGTCAGAGCTTATATTGGGCATAAGCTCTCTGGCCTGCAAGACAAGTGTCAGAGCTTATATTGGGCCTAAGCTATCTGGTCTACCAAACATGTGCCAGAGCTTATATTGGGCCTAAGCTATCTAGCCTACCAGACAAAGGTCAGAGCTTAAATTGGGCATAAACTCTCTGGCCTACCAAACAAGTGTCAAAGCTTATATTGAGCATAAGCTGTCTGGCCTACCAGATAAGTGTCAGAGCTTATATTGGGCCTAAGCTTTGGCCTACCAAACAAGTGTCAGAGCTTATATTGGGCATAAGCTATCTGGTCTACCAAACATGTGTCAGAGCTTATATTGGGCCTAAGCTATCTGCTCCACCAAACATGTGTCAGAGCTGATATTGGGCCTAAGATATCTAGCCTACAAAACAAGTGACAGAGATTATATTTAGCATAAGCTTTCTGGCCTGCCAGACAAGTGTCAGAGCTTATATTTGGCCTAAGCTATCTGGTCTACCAGACAAGTGTCGGAGCTTATATTGGGCATAAGCTCTCTGATCTATCAAACATGTGTCAGAGCTTATATTTGGCCTAAGCTATCTAGCCTACCAAACAAGTGTCAGAGCTTATATTGGGCTTAAGCTATCTAGCCTACCAGACAAGTGTCAGAGCTTATATTGGGCATAAGCTCTCTGGTCTACCAAACATGTGTCAGAGCTTATATTGGGCCTAAGCTCTCTGGCCTACCAGACAAGTGTCAGAGCTTATATTGGGCATAAGCTATCTAGCCTACCAGACAAGTGTCAGAGCTTATATTGGGCATAAGCTCTCTGGTCTACCAAACATGTGTCAGAGCTTATATTGGACATAAGCTCTCTGGTCTACCAGACAAGTGTCAGAGCTTATATTGTGCCTAAGCTATCTGGCCTACCAAACATGTGTCAGAGCTTATATTGGGCATAAACTCTCTGACCTTCCAAACATGTGTCAGAGCTTATATTGGACATAAGCTCTCTGGCTCACCAAACAAGTGTCAGAGTTTATATTGGGCATAAGCTATCTGGTCTTCCAGACAAGTCTCAGAGCTTGTATTGGGCCTAAGTTGTCTGGCCTACCAAACAAATGTCGGAGCTTAAATTTTCGCCTTATCTTACTGGCCTACCAGACAGGTGTTAGAGCTTACATTGGGCCTAATCTGACTGGCCTACCAGACAGGTGTTAGAGCTTATATTGGGCCTAAGCTGACTGGCCTACCAGACAAGTGATGGAGCTTATATTGGGCCTAATCTGACTGGCCTACCAGACAGGTGTTTGAGCTTATATTTGGCCTAATCTGACTGGCATACCAGACAGGTGTTTGAGCTTATATTGGGCCTCAGCTATTTGGCCTACCAGGCAGGAAGCTCTTACATCTGTCTGGTAGGCCAGTCAGCTTAGGTCCAATATAAGCTCTAACACCTGTCTGGTAGGCCAGTCAGCTTAGGCCCAATATAAGCTTATAATGGGCTTAAGCTGACTGGGCCATCAGACAGGTTTTAGAGCTTAATATCAGGCATAACTGCACATACATTGTACCTATTCAGACTTTGTTTTGTACAGGTACTGGCTTTATGAGGTTTGTCGAGGTATAGAGAGAGAACCAGTGTCTGCTAGACAGCTCGCTAAGTCAATTGGTTGCAGCAAAAACTTCCGCGGCAAAGAGGCTCTCGATACTCGTGAAAAGGTAATAGATAAGAGTTGGTGATTACAAAATAAATAAATTTAAAAAAACTATAAAAAATTGTTAATTCTACATTCAACTTAAGCAAAAGAAAGGAGATAAACTGGAAAGGGTTATCTATGTTTATATCACTGGGTGTAAATGTTGTGTGTTATCTATGTTTATATCACTGGGTGTAAATGTTGTGTGTTATCTATGTTTATATCACTGAGTGTAAATGTTGTGTGTTACCTAGGTTTATATCACTGGGTGTAAATGTTGTGTGTTATCTATGTTTATATCACTGGGTGTAAATGTTGTGTGTTATCTAGGTTTATATCACTGGGTGTAAATGTTGTCATGAACTCCTCCTGTTACAGTGATGTAGATTTGAAATAAATGCAAGAGTTCACATATAACACGTATACATGTCTTGCATCATAATTAAATATTTTGTTCATACAAGGTGGGGTTCTGGTTGTCCGAGTTGTCTGGGGAGGTAGTCGAGAGGCTGGAGAAAGACAGAGAAATGGTAAGCAAAAACAAATCATACTTGGTCAATATTCTGTCATTAGCTTTGACTCAAGTTTAGGTTAGAGAATTTTAAAACCACTCAACACTGTGGCAGTACCTAGTGTCAGGGTAAAAACTACTTTGCATGTCTGTAATTTTACTGTAAATCTAATAATAGGCAACTTTGAATTTCTTTTTAAATTTAGGTTTTGCATACGATTAGAATATATATGAAATATGATGTGTTGTATGGTTGAATCATATATAAGACACTGTAAGAAAATAGTGAAAGCTTATAATCTGGATGGAATGTCAACCGTAGACAGAAACAGATGTGATTCATTGTGACACCTTTAGTTATCTACGATAATTTTTCTGATATCATATCAGTCAAAAGGTGGGTATAGGTAGGTATGAGCAAAAAATCATAAAATTTGTCAACAGTGTAAAGGTCCATGATTTTCTCCTTCCTCTCCAAAAAGTCTATGGTATTCAATAGAGTATCATAAGGAAACCTAAACATCACAGCATCAACATTAGGGCTCCAACGATATATCGTGTGACGATAAATCACGATATTTTGAACACGGTACGATACACAATATTTTTGGGAGGTTACGATATACCTACGATAATTTCAGGATTTTGTCGTTTCTGAATTAAGTCTCCTCATATTGGTTAAAACATGGCAAGTGACAGCTCCAGATCAGCACACATGTCGAAAGACGTGAATTGTGTGAACTTTAAAGTCATGCCCATTTTGGTCCAAGTCTATTTCTGTTTGTAATTAGAAATTTGCAACATATCTTTTCTCTTTGCTTCTACTGTTACTATATGTATCGTGACCACATTATCATGATACATATCGTATCGTCATGTTAATGTATCGTTGCAGCCCTATACAACATACCTGTGTATGATTTTCATATATCAAATACACCATGCCATTGTTTATGTACCGTAAAGATTTCCAGTGGCTGTTCTTTCCTTTTGATAGTCTGTTGATGTTTGAAAAACAGTTATGGATCATTGTTATTACGCTTTGAATTGTTATATCTTATAAAAGATGCTTTCGTTCAAATATGCTCTGTTGATCTGAACAGAATATTGGGTTTGATGTATGATCCTAAGATGTATGAATAATGGAAAAATCGTTAAGATAATGTAACCTAACACTTTTATATTTCTTCTATACACCATTTATGTACCAAATCTACTTTATTTAAATTGTTATTATTTACTGAGTCACGTATGGTTGTGATCAGATCAGCACCTGATGGTCTGTATTATGTACATGTATGATACATACAGTACTACTTGTACTTAATATGAACTGTGGGGAGGGGATTGGTGTCTTGTAAGAACTGTGGGGAGGGGATTGGTGTCTTGTAAGAACTGTGGGGAGGGGATTGGTGTCTTGTACGAACTGTGGGGAGGGGATTGGTGTCTTGTACGAACTGTGGGGAGG